TTTCCTTTCTCAATTCTAATTACTTTAAATTAATTAAATGAAAAAGGAAAATAAATATACTATATATACATATATACCTAAATTTGATACTACGTAATTTAGTTTAAACAATATTATAGCATATAAATATATAATTATATACATAGATGAATCCACAGACTATTAGTATTTAATTAAATTAAATACCCCTAATAAAACACATAATTAACACAATATTTAAACTTACCATTAATACAACCATTAAACACTTAAATTAATATAACATTTAAAACATACCATTAATACAACAATTAAACATTTAATTAATACAATAATTAAAAATAAAATTAATACAACAATTAAACATCTAATTAATACAACAATTAAAAATAAACTTAATACAACAATTTAAAATAAAATTAATACAACAATTAAAACATACCATTAATAAAACAATTAAACATTTAATTAATACAACAATTAATTTAAACAAAATTAATACAACAATTAATTTAAATAAAAACACATTTGCAAATGGCCACGAAATCAAATAATCAAGTAATTCAATTAAAATGTGATAAAATAATTAAAGAAACACCGAGATTATCCTTTTAAAATTAGGGCTATTACAAGACCATTAAACTCATCTTGCATATTACTAGCGCCATTATATCATTTCCCGTGCAATTTAGTTATACTCAGTCCATGCCTACAAAATAATTCATCAATTGCCATCTTAAGTGAAAGAGTAGTGGTACTTGTAACATGTTCCACACTTATAAAACGTTCAATTACATTACCATCCATATCTACATAACGAAATACAATAGCCATTTGTTCCTTTGATGATATGTCACGAGATTCATCAATCATGATTAGGGATGGCAATTTGACCCGCCCCGCCCTGCCCCGTTTTTGGTGATTTTGGGGACCGTTTAGCTTATTTGGGCGGGGATGGTTTGATGTAATAAAAACCCGCGCAGGTTTTGTGCGGGGGCAGGGGAGGTCATCCCATCCCTTTTAGATAGGCAAATTACTTAAGTACCCTTATTTTATTAGTATATATATTTCTCGGTATATATATTAAGTACTCTATATAACAATATTAAAGTAACAAATGAATTTAATTAGAAGGAAAGTTGCAATGGTGAAGAACTGAAGATGAGGGGGAAAAAAAGAGCAAATCAATTTCAACAATAAATAAATTATGGTCTTAAATGGGGCGGGGCGGGTATCCGTGGGGGTAAAAATGTTAAACGGCTGTTAGGATAGGATGGAAAGTGCCTCCGTTTTTGTGATTTTGGGCTGGGATGGGGGTGGGGTTTTTAAATGGGTACGGTGGCGGGGAAGGGTACACCCGCCCAAACCTGCTCCCGTTGCCATCCCTAATCATGATAGAAAATAGTTCATCTCCAATATTACTAATAATAACATAATAGTTTCAATGGCAGCGACATTCACAATATCCTTTTAAATATCAGGTGAGGTTAACTTGAGATTTTCAAGAGCATTCTTCAATGCTACTGATTTAACATCCTCATTATGATTAACAAGAAACTTTACTTGAATGCTCAGATTCATCATGCCCACGAAATGCAAGGACTTGCTATAACAAATACTAAATGCAATCAATTGATGCAATTAAACGCTTTCGATAATCAATTCGAGTCTGGTCTGATTGCTTGAAAATTATTGTTTGAATGTGTTAATTTTGGTTCTTTAACCTTCATATTGATTCCAAGCTTGGTTGTGGGCACTATTTGGCCCTCCAACATGAATTTGAAGTATGTCTTTCTTTTTCCAATTTGAAAATCATTCACTAACAAAAAAGTCACCACCTGATTGTTGTCCTATATTATGCTTAAAAAGATAGCAATATAAATAAAATAATGCATCTTTTGAAATGCTATATTCTAACCAATTACACTAATTATTAAACCAATCAAGATTAAATCGTCTTAACGCTGATGGTTGTCCAAATTTCTTTTACGGAAATTTATGTTTTTGATGTTGACAAGGACCCTTTAGTATATATGCTCTGTGAATTTGGTCTTAAATATTGGGATTATAATCTGTAATCCTAGTTCGTAACCCAAGATCTGAAGGAAGATTTGCTAAGTCAATTTCCATTTGACTTTTTTTTGAGCTGTCATCATTTCTTTCTTGAGGGGATGGTAAGTCTTGTATTCCTTTGTGATAAATTTTCAGATTATTCATTACTGTTTCAAAATTGAGTTCTTTCAATTAAATATACTAAAAAAAAATCATATTTAATGAATCAAGAATAAGAAATGAAAAAGAAAATAACACAATTATTTAAATCTAAGTGTTCTAATATATCACATATATAAAAAAAATAAAAATAAAATTCCATAATAACCAATTTCATTCCAAAAAATTTCATGGTAACAAACATTCTTAATAACTACTATGTCAGACTGTCAATCTACTCATAGTAAAAATTCATTCAAATTAAAAATCAAAAAAATAAAATAAAACGCAAGATATGAAGATAACTAACCTTATAAGTTATAACTAGATAATCCAATCAATCGAAAAATTTGATAGAGTAAGTGAATCAGTGATTTCATTGATTTGGGCTACAAATAAAAAAAAAATTCCTGCAAATAAAAAAAAATTCTAAGTCTTATTTAGAGAATAATAATTAGTAACACAATTACACAAACTAAATTTTAAAAAAACAACAAGCCCTAAAATAATTTTGATAGTAATAACTAATAATTTTTCTAATTAAAATTACAATATCAAATAATAATTGTAAATTTATATGATAAAAAAATATATCAAGATTACCTGTCTGCCGCACTGCAGTATGAATGACTAAGTCTTTGTCTACTGGTAAATGGTTGCTATGCTTACTTTGTTTGGATTGTGAATTTATAAAATGTTGAAGACTCGCGGAAAAGAAAATTTTGAAAAACTAAAAATGTGATGGAAACAATCTATTTGTTTGTGGTAAAGTCAAAAGTGTGAAATAATATCTTGATGAAATGTTTTTTTTTTTTTTCAGGAAAAGTGGAAAAGAATATAATATTTTAGAAAAGTAAAAAAAAAATATTATATTTTGTGGGAAAGTGATAAATTGATAGCTATATTATATATATTTACAATTGTGTCACGATTATATTCTTATTTATTTATTTTTTGTGTGTGTAAAACCTTGAATGAGCTTTTGGTTATATATATATAGTGTATATATATGTGCACTGTCAAATTTTAGAGGAGACAATTATACAAATATAAAAATCTTTCCATATAAAATAAAAAAAATTAAAAGTTCGGTTGGGCTTTTGGTTGTCCTCACTTCTCTTTATGACTAGGCCACTGGTGCGGTGGGAGGTGGCGTTGATGGTGGTGTTGGGGTTAGACATAATAAGGTGAGAAAAGCATTACAAAAATGGTATTTTGGGTTTAGGGGCAACATGATCTTTTGATTTCTTTATTTTTATTTTAGGGTTAATTATAACGACACCCCCTGAGGTTTGGCATATTGACAGCCATATATAACTTGGCTACATTTTGGACAATGACACCCCTTATGAAAATTTTGATCCAAACAAGCCCTTAAAATGTTTGAAAATACTACTTTGCCCATCAGTGTTTAATTCATTTTAATGGTAAAATATCAGAATTCGTGAAAAGTCAAATTTGCCCTTATACATACACAGTATTACATCATCACCCTCATATATATATATACCCACCGTCTCAGCCCACCTACGGTACAACACCGTCTCCACCCACCTACGGTCCAGCACCGTCGCAACTTCCACCCTCTCTCTCCACTGCAACGTCCATCGCCTCTCCACTTCCACAATCTCACCACCTCCTTCCTCCACCTTTGCTACCGCCCCATCCACATCCGTTGCCGCCATCTTGATCCGCCGTCACCGCCTCTCCCCAACTACATCCGCCGCCGCCATCTCCCCAACCAGAACCGTCGCCGCCATCTCCCCTCAACCATAATCGCCGCCAACATGTCCCTCCTTGTACCGCCACCACTTCTCAACCACAGCCGCTGCCACTTTTCCTTCACCACAGCCGTTGACAACTTCGACCTCTGGTACAGATCCCTGACGCCGCTGCCTTCACCTTCTTCTCTCCCCGTGACATTTACAACACACATACACACATAACCTCAGCTGACACCGGAATCACATCGCCGCTGCTAGCCACCATCGCCGAAGTCCAATCTCATTACTTTGGTCGTCGCCGGAGCCCAAGAGAAAGACTTGTAGAAGTTCAAAGCGAACCAATCTTCTCTGATCTAGACGGATCTCATCAACTGTGAATGTTTCCATCAAAATTTTGAAAGCAAAGGTTGTGGGTGTCTCAACCGCAATCTTTTTGCCCTCGCCGGTGGCATAGGTGGCAAAAATTCTAAAATTGGATTGGGGTTTGGGGGTTGTTTGGATTATGGGTTTGTTAACAGAGGAGGAGATGAGATGAGATAAGATGAATGGTATAGAGTGAACCCAATTGAATGAAGCAAGCTTTCAGTGAGATTTGAGCTTTTCTACTTTCAGTGAGAATTGAGCTTTTCTACAAAAGGGGCGGTAGGGCTGTGAACCGGTCATAGTGGGTGTGGTACGGTTAATTTACTTAGGGTATTTTGGTCAATAAAAAAAAATTATTGGATAAATTGGTAATTGAATGTATCAAAGGACAATAATGCCAATTCACCCATATGTAAGGACCATTGGGGTGTCTTTGTTTACCTTATAAAATTTAAGGGGTGTCATTGTAATTAACTTGTATATAATTGTCATTATAGCAAACCTCAAAGGGTGTCATTGTAATTAACCCTTTATTTTATTTAAAAGCATTAAAGATGAGGCAATTTAAACATTTCATAACATTTTTAATTTGAAAACGCTCACACGGGTATCACTGTCTAAAAAAATGTTGTAAGTTCAATGTAATTAAGTCACCACTTAATTAAAACATTCTAGCAAGCAAGGAATCATTGTGCCAAAGTATTGGTGCCTGTTAACTCGGAGTCTCGGACCCTTATATTTTTGTTGGTACATGCTAAATTTTAACTTGCCAATTAGACGGTCAAAATTCAAAGAGTTTGACTCGTTTTCTCTAAATGGGTATTATTGCTAAATCTCTAAACCCGACATGAATTTGCAATAAATCGGGTGAGATTTAGTTAAAATACTGACGGATCATCTGATATATATGGAGAGAGACGGAGATTGTTTTGTAGGTGATAAATCTCACCCAAGTATTCAATTTGATGGTGAAGGGTCAGCTCTGAGTTCAAATTTTTTCTTGGATCATGTTGGGGAAGTTGTTGTCACCCTTCATCCTGATGGGTTATCGTGGAAATTGATTGAATCCACAAACAACGTAAGTTTTTTAGAATTATAATTGCGTAACTGTATTTATTTTGTTAATCTGCTGGAATGTTAATTCGTGCTTACTAGGTGGGCGGGCATATGAGTATCCTCGGTTTCTCATCATATATTCATGACAATGTCAAATGTTAATTGAAATTGTTAAGCAAGTTTTGACAATGTTACTGATTTTGTATTGGGTTTTATTTATTTTGCTGATTAGAAGTTAGTTTTCTAAAGTTTTCGTCTTTTGTTTTCGAATTTAGATGGGTTGCTGGGGAAATTGTTTGAATGTTCTCGATAATCTAAGTTGGATTATAAATCAACTGCGTGTCCTTCCTAATTTTCTTGATTAAGCAAGAACTTGTACTTATTAAGTGGATTGGAAATATGGATGTCCTGAATTTCTCATCATTTATTTTTCATCCTACTGATTGATACGGATAAATATATGTACACATATATATATCTATATATATGCATGTATGTATGTATTTTTTGTATCCGTTGTCAAATGTACTATACATTGAGATTGTGGTTCTTAGGTGGATTGTGAAAATGGGTTTACTTAAATCTGCTAAAAGAATGGTTTTCTAATTTTTATTTTTATTTTTTATTTTCTGGTCATTTTGAGTCATTCTTCTGATTCTGGTCTTCTGTCAAGTGTTTTGATTCTAACTATATATTGGGTTGATTGCTTAAATATATTTCTTATATTTCCTTTGGTGTTTTCTGATTACAATTTTTGGTCATTTTGAGATTTATGAATTGGGAAGATCTCTCATTGTTGTGGAGACTGACAAACCTTGACTACATTGAAGATGGATTGATCTTTTAGCAATTGGGTCTATGAACTTTTAAGTTTAACATTGAAGATCCTTGGGTCTTAAGTTTGTTTGTCAGTCTCTTTGAGCTGAATTAGTATACTCTAGTTAAAACATGCAGTTTCATTGAAATAAAAAGGAAACCATGCTCTGGTGCTTTTAAAAATCTTTAATTTGGTATCGGTAATACAGTTGGTGTCCTATATCATTGTGCAACTAGTCTCAAGCCCGGGAAAGATTAGGGTTGTATCAGGCTGACGATAGCTTACCTTTTGTCAATTTTCTATGAAACTGTTTAGATAGAAGGTGCTACAAATGATGAGGGGATGACCAAAGTGGTGTTAGTTGAGGTTGTCAGAAAACACACTTTGGTTTACAATCATTACTATCAGAACTAAAGCGCTATGTAGCTTCACGCAGTACTGAAAAATCATCCGTTGAGGTAAATAGTGCATTTGGGATTAATTTGATCTTGTGGATGAAGATCTCAATACTTCATCTATAGAAATTCCGCACATTTAAAATTAGAGTACGTCAAAATTTTTTTCTGTGATATGCTATATTTTCTTCATGTTGTTCAATCAAAAGTTGATTGGCTTCAGCCTCTTAGAATGTTAAAAATCATCTTTTGTTATACTATTTAGGTCTTTTTCTCTTGGTTTTTTTCCCTGTAGAATTTTTTTTTTTTCAATTTAATTTCTGTTTTCTAGTCCATCTAAATTGTTGGGCAATTAATTTGTCAACAGATTTTTATTCACTATGTTTAATACATTTTCTTAATCCTACCGAGATTAACCAGATGGCCTAACTTTTGTACTGTGTAATCTTTGTAGAAGCAGGATGGATCATCTTGTCTGGGTATAAAACTTGTTTCGAAGAGTGCAACTGCAATAAAGTTTTCTGATGTGTATGCTGTTGAGGTCATCAATTGGGGATTGGTTCATGAGTCTATTCTTGAAAATGCGGGAGGATGTCTCATGGATCATGCATCTGAGGTTATAGTTATTCTTATATTGGCATTTTTACACGCTTTTTGTTATGTGCTGATTATATTCTAGATAAATTTCTGTTTACTTCTACAGATGTATCGTTTTATGGTACATTGTGTCCAGAAGTCGAAGACTCAGCCTTCTCTTTGGGCCCCATCTGTTTACACTTTTGGTCACAAGGATAAGCAGACATGTCAAATGTGGGTGAATCAAATTAATGCTTCTCTGAACAAGGAAACAGGGCGACCTAAGAGTCTTCTGGTATGTTCTATTTTGGGTTAATTATGCTGGTGTTTTGTCTTCAGACTGATTTGTTTCATCTTTGGGTGATGTAAATGGAAATAAACTAGCAGCAAAATTTTTTCCAGACCTTATTTGTGATTGCCTAGGTTTTTGTTCATCCACTGAGTGGGAAAGGAAATGGATGTAGAACTTGGGAGGCGGTGGCTCCTTTATTTTCTTGTGCGAAAGTGAAAACTAAGGTAAACTTTAGCATATCAATTGATTTTGTTTTTGAATCTGGGCACACGACTTAATACTGATTCACAGAGTTCATTTGCATATTTGAATTTGCATGTGTCTTTGTGGAAATTTTGTTTCTCAATTGTGCAAGAATTGGATATTTCCATCTTGGTCCGTGGATCTCCTGCCCCTGGAATATGTTGCCCTCAATTTGACTGTCTGAATTCTAAGACAAAAGTCTCAAAATTAAGCTTCAGGGTTGAACTTTTGTCACTTGGGGGGTTAAAATTTCATGGAATATGGGATGAAATGTCTTGTACAGGCATACAAGCTTTAAACTTTTGACGTAGAGTTTTTTTTTTTAATAAATCTGGTAGCAATCAAGGTTGCATTTGTCCAATTTTGTAAAGAATAAAGGTAAATTTTAGTCTATATTCAATTTGGGTTTATAGGAGTAATGCTTTAAATTGTTTTTAAATTTTCTGTCAGGTGACTGTGACACAAAGGGCAGGGCATGCTTTTGAGGTGATGTCATCTATTACAAACAGGGAGCTCAGTTCATACGATGGCGTTGTAGCTGTTGTAAGTATGAAACCTTTTGCATTCATCTTTTGCACATTGAGTTTTCATGGAGGAGCACTGTTTAATATAGAAATAATTGGATTTCATTAAGCTACTGTTATTGCAATTTGTTAACTCCTTTGGAGCATTTGCAACTCACACTCAACTTACACACACACACACACACACACACAGTACTCTGTTGTCCCTATTAGGTAATTTAATTCTCAACCTCCCACATGGGAGTAGGAAACGATACCACTTGAGCTGAAGTCTCAGTGGTGTGTACTGGAATCAGCTACATAGGAACTTAAGAGGAAAAGTTGGGGAAAATTTTTAGACAAAGAAGAAATGGAAGGCATATGACAAGATGTAAGAATGCATGGTTTTGAAATGCTTTTGGATTGATGGATTTTCAAACTCAGTTGAATTTATTTCTTTGGATCCTAATATTAAGTTAAAAGTTATAAGAAAAACCTAATATTCTTTTTTCCTGTTTTCATTTTAGATGTAATATTTGAACACTGGTCTATACTTTGACGACTAACTCTGTCCAAGTGTAGATTCTGTGTGAGATATAAATCATCATTTTTGTGTGTTTGTTTGTGAGTTAAAGTCTGGTTTGGAAGAGACAGGTTGGGAAGTTGGGATCTAGATCAGATAAATGTTTGTTTGTAGGAAGATCAGGTTGGGAAGTGGACTATTTTATGATCTGAAGCATAGGAGGATAATAGTATGCACTCGCGCTATATTCCTTGAGGAGGATTATATTATGGATCACAAGCCTAGTAGCTGGATTGTGTTAGAGGGATAGCATGCCTATCACAGAGATTGAGAATGAAGGTTCACAGGATATCTCTGTTGAGGCACCTTCATCTTCTAGTACACCGGAATCCACAGTTGTTCCTTGGCGTAGTGGGAGGGTTATTAGACCCCGTCGGGTACATGTTATTGGGAGAAGCTTACGAGTTTCACCCGGACATACATGTATTGGATCCGGTAAGCTATAATGAGGCAATAACAAACGTGGATGCAGATCATTGACAGGTTGCAATGAAATCAGAGTTGGAATCTATGCATTATAACAAAGTCTGGGAACTTGTAGAACTTCCTGATGGGGTAAAACCTATTGGTTGTAAGTGGGTCTACACGAGGAAAATAGGAATATATAGGAATGTGGAAACATTCAAAGCAAGGCTGGTTGCCAAAGACTTCACTCAACGTGAAGGGATTGACTATGAGGACACATGCTGGTAGCCATGCTTAAATATATTCGGATTCTTTTAGCCATTAATGCTCATTATGACTACGAGATACGGCAAATGGATGTCAAGACGGCCTTCTTGAATGGCCATCTGGAATGGGACATCTATATGAAACAACTAGACAATTTTATTGCGAAGGGCCAGGAGGATCTAGTGTGTAAGTTGCAAAGGTCCAATTATTGGCCGAGGCAAGCTTTAGAGTATTGGAATGGCCGTTTTGATCAGGCAATCAAATCATTTGGTTTTGAACAAAACGTTGATGAACCTTATGTGTAGAAGATCTGGGGAGAATGTGTAATCTCTCTCATTCTCTATGTGGATGATATACTACTCGTTGGGAATGATGTTGGGGCATTATCATTTGTCAAGATATGGCTATCTAATCAGTTTGAGATGAAGGATCTTAGAGAAGCAAGCTACATTCTCGGGATTAGGCTTTTGCGTGATCGGAAAAGAAGAATGTTAGGCTTATCTCAGGAATCCTATGTCGACAAGATTATGACCAGGTTCGGTATGCATGATTCAAAGAAAGGCTTCTTGCCTTTCAGGTATGGTATACATCTTTCTAAGGAGCAGTGTCCTTGGACACCTGGAAGAGGAGATGAGACGGGTACCTTATGCTGAGGCACTAGGTAGTCTCATGTATGTTGTGTTGTGTACCAGATCGAACATGTGCTTTGTAGCAGGGATGGTCAGCAGGTATCAGTCTAATCTGGGCAGGATCATTGAATTGCAGTCAAAGGTATTCTCAAGTATTTGAGAAGGACTAAGGGTTATATGCTTATCTATGGAGGTGATATTGGGAAATGACTTTTTCAAAAATGGTGGAAGCATTAAAATAAACCCACTTGGTTCAAATAGGTTTGATGAAAATACATGCTATATGATATATATATATATACATGTATTAGTGTAAGAAACTTACTATGATGATACGAGAGTATCACAAATCAATCCACAATGGTATAGTATAAACAATAAGATCCTTCCAAGTTTTCTTCTACACTTAATGGTGGAATCATTGCCTTCAAGAATCACCTATATGTCCTCATCAATGAAGTCCTTCAAGCCTTCGATGGTGGGATAAAAAATGAGAAATAAGAACTCTAGATTTAGAATTGTAGAAGGACATAGATATAGTGGTCTTGTAAGTATATGTTTTATCACACACTCTCTCTCTCTAGAATTGTCATGTGGAATGCAATTCTTATTTATCTCATTTTTTATGTGAATATCTCTACAAGTTCCATTTATATAGATGTCTTGAAGTGGAATTAAGAACTCCTACAATCTAACACGGGTGCTCATATCAATTCATCCAATCCACATGGGTGCCCCAATCATTTCCTAAAATTCTTTTGCCTTTTTCTCATTTGCTTGAAAGCCATTACTTGGGTTATGGGTAATGATATTTGGGGCTCACTTTCTTTATGGCTCCAATGGACTAATAATTTTGATCGGGTCAACTTCCTTTGACCCAATTCAATTAGCCTATTAATTAATTCTAACTCCACTAAATAGAACTAATTGCACGCCAACATGGAATAAATAGTGATTTCCATGAAGTCAATTTGCATGATCCCTCTATGCTTAATTAAGGTATCGGATAATAGAAGTCGTCAATTTGATCACCAAATTATTCTTTTATTTGGACTCCTTGATTATTTCGTTTGACCACGTAAAAGATTTATTTGATAAAATAATATATTTAATAAATAAATATATACAAAAACATTTTATCAAAACCACCGGGGCCTCCGGATTCCTCGTGATCAAATCAATCAAGTCAAAATAGAATAACACCGATGCAACTCTTGAGAGTACGTTCCCAAGCTATTAATTAGTAGCTACAAATTAATACAAGAGTCAATACCTCTCTATGCTTAAGAGTCATTTGTGATGATGGTGATATGGAGTGAGTTGTTACGACGACTCTCACAACTCTAGCTCCACTTCGTAGATTCGATTCAAACGGAATAATCAAGTAGTCGAAATAAAGGAATAATTTAGTGGTCGGATTGATGACTTATATTATTTGATAGCTTAATTAAGTATGGAGCGGTCATGATGCAAATTGACTTCGTGGAAATCACTATTCTAAATGGAGTGCAATTAATTCTATTTAGTGGAGTTAGAATTAATTAATGGGCTAATTGAATTGGGTCAAAGGAGGTTGAGCGGGTCAATTATTAGTCCCATGAAGAAAGTGAGCTCAAAAGATCCTCACCTATAACCCAAGTAATGATTTTCAAATAAATGAAAAAAAGACAAAAGAATTGTAGGAAGTGATTGGGGCCCATGTGGGTTGGATGAATTGATATGAGCACCCATGTTAGATTGTAGGAGTTGTTAATTCCACTCCAAGACATCTATATAAATGAGACTATAAGAAATGAGATACGTAAGAATTGCATTCCACATGACAATTCTAGAGAGAAAGTGTAGGATACAACCTATACTTACAACACCCCTATATCTATATCCTTTTACAATTCTAGATCTAGTGTTCTTATTTCTCATTTTTGATCCCACCATCAAAGGCTTGCAGGACTTCTTTGATGTGGATATGGGTGATTCTTGAAGGCAAGGAATCCACCATTAAAGTGTAGAAGAAAGCTTGGAAGGATCTTCTATTGGTTATACTATACCATTGTGGATTAATTTGTGATATTCTCATATCACCATAGTAAGTTTCTTACACTTACACATTATATATATCACATAATATGTATTTTCATCAAACCCATTTGAACCAAGCAAGAGCATGTCCTTGGGTTTTTATTCATGCTACCACCATTTTTGAAAAAGCCATTTCCCAACATACACCATCAGGAAGCTTCCAAGACAGTTGAATATGCCTATTAACGGAATTGTCATTAACACCTCTTAGGCTTGACAAAGGACTGATCTGTACTCCTTATATTCCTACAGAGAATGTTAGTTGGCTGATATCTTGACCAATGGACTCTTGACTCAAGTCATTTCAAGAAATTATAAGCAACTTGGGAATGAGGAATATTTATTCACCAGCTTGAGGGGGGGAGTGTTGGAAATTTTTTCAGCTTGTATGAAAAATTCTGGAAGATCTCCAGCCTGTATAGGCTGGCACAAATGTATATTTGTAAAATTGGTTGTCTAGGATTTTTTTTCCATATTAGTTTAGTTGACTTTTTCCTGTCATAATTAGGAGATTGTATGTACTATTGTCCTAGGCTATTTTTAGACGTAAAATTCTGTATTTATATTCAGAAAAGATTAAGAAAGTATTATCTCAATTAGAGAATTGAATGCAAACAGTATTCATCTTTGCAATAGGTGCAAAAGTCTCATGATAATCTATTCCATGAGTCTGAGTGTAGCCCGTTGCTACCTTTGCTACTAATCTTGCCTTATAACTCTCTAGTGTTCCATTTTAATCGTGAACACCCATTTGCACCCCACCTTTTTTCCCACAGGAAGATCAACAATCTCCAATGTATTATTTTTCATTAGTGCATTCATTTCTTCCATCATAGCTTTCCTCCAATTCTCAGCTCTAAGTGCCTCTTGAACAGTTTTGGGTGTTTCTATAGAATTTAATTTTGATACAAAGGCTTGATATGGAGAGGATAGATTGTCTAAGGAAACAAAGTTGGTCAAAGGATGCTGAGTACATTGTCTTTTTCCTTTCCTAAGGGCAATGGGTAGATCAAGGTCATCAAGAACATTAGAATTGGAAACAGTACCTTTTTACGGTTAAATAACTGGAACATGTAG